GATATTGAAAGAGTCAGTGAAAATAAATTTCTGGGGGTAATAATAGATGAAAAACTTAACTGGAGAGCTCACGTAAGATATATTCATTCCAAAGTATCACAAAGCATTGCAGTACTAAACAAGGCAAAACAGGTATTAGACAGAACATCACTTCATATTCTCTACTGTTCACTGGTTTCACCATACTTAAGCTATTGTGCAGAGGTCTGGGGCAATAACTATAAAACCACATTACATTCACTTTTTACTCTTCAAAAAAAAAAAAAAAGCAATTCGAATCATCCACAATGCAGGTTATAGGGAACATACAAACTCACTATTTTTGCAGTCTGAAATATTGAAAATTGACGATCTAGTGAAATTCCAAACAGCACAAATTCTATTCAAAGCAAAAAATAAAGAATTGCCAGGTAATATTCAGAGTATGTTTTTTTTTTGAAAGAAGGAAGCTATAATTTAAGGGGTTTTTGTAACTTCAAAACAGGGAAGGTCTGTACTACAAGAAAAAGCTTTTGTGTTTCTGTTCATGGAGTGAAACTGTGGAACAGTCTGAATATGGAATTAAAGCAATGTCCAAGCATAAAACAGTTCAAAAAGAGTTATAAAAATATGATCTTCTTGAACTATAAAGAAAAGGGAAATATTGAAATTAAGTGAATGTCTCTATTTTAAAAAAAAAAAAAAATTCATGATGTTATATTATAGTATATAGTATATCAGAAATCTGTTCACTATATTTTATTACAAATTATATCAGTAAGGAAGCTGACTAAATATTAACTGATAATTTATGGCAAAGGGGTGGGATTAAATAAGTGTTTACTTCTTTCCACTCCCTTTCAACATGCAAATTAATCAGAACGGCAGCTATATTGAAATGTATTGATTTTTTTGTGTAGTATTTTTTTTCTCTCTCTTATTTTCTTTTCTAAATGTACCTGTATATTGTTTACATGTTTGAAATTAATTACCAATCAATCAATCAATCAATCTCCCGAAGAGCCAAAACTCTGAGAGTAGAAACAGGGTAGGGTAAGTAGCATTGAAGCAAAACAACCAGACTTTGTCTCACGCAGTCATCTGATGATATTTATAAAGAAACTTAAAGCACAACTGGAGGCATGCCAAATAATTTTTAGTCAGAAGAAGCAGGAAAAATCAGCCCGATACATCACTCTCCGATTCTCCTTGAATCTGCTTATCCTACTTCAGTTGGCTGATAAGGGCCTGGCGGTGTGACTGCAGGTGGTAACGCTTAATGTTTTATTTAAAAGCCTTGTCAGTCTTAGTTACTGTCTTAAATCTGGATCCACTTATTTGTAGCTAAAGAGTTCACTTTCACTGCCTCACTATGTGGGCATGGTGAATGCTAAGACACCTCTTTAAAAAAAACGTCTGTTTTCTTCTGAGCATGTGAAGCTAGCTTACATAATCTGTAAAGTTGTGATGAAATGAGCGGGAGATCAAATGGTGGAAAAATTAGACCCACCCACCATATCACCACTTATCACAAAGATATTATAGGCAGCTCATTACTCAGAAGAGGCTTAAATGGTGTAATTACATGACACCGCATTGGTTTTCATTCCATCACTATCTTCATTCACTGTGTGTTGACCCTTCTCACTATTCTGGAGCTTTCCATTTTCCCCTTAGTTAGTGTGTTCATAATGACAAGCTGTAAAGATGCAACAGATGTGTGAACAAAGCAAATAAAGTGCTGGTAACAAATTGAATCCCTGCTATTATCCCTCTTTAGAGTAACTAAGACAATGCACAAATCTAACAAAAGTACCAGACAGCCATGGGTTGAAGTAAACGCTGCATAATTTGAGATGTAAAACTGGAAGGAAGAAGTTTTTGCCACACAGAAAATCTGCATGTGAATTTGGAATGGTTTAATTTTATTCTGATTACTTAATTAAAGTAGAGCAGCACTTTAATGTGCTTCCTTTGGGAGATAAAAGCGACATTCCCTAAGTTTTTTTTTT